ATCACGTTCCCAGATCTACGGTTCACTTCCCATTGCTTTAGCAGTGCATATCTGTTGTCAAACTCACGCTGGATCCCAGCTAGTGCACACTGCTGTTTGAATGTTCACTTTGCCCTCCTTGCTCTCGTTTCTTTCCTTACCCTCCTGCATTGGCACCAATAGAATGCAAGCATGCTGGAACAATTTGTATGGTGGGGGTGCTGAGAGCCATTGAACCAAACTGTACACCCTGCATATAATGGAAACCACTTCAAGTCAGGGGAGTGCTGCAGCACCACCCGCACCCCCAGTTCCAGCACCTATGATAGGATGTATCCCCCAGTGCTTAGGTGCCCACTCACTGATCCTTGCCAATCACGACTGCTCACTTCAAATTAAGTGTAAAAATATAAAGAAGGAGGAAAATCCCTCTTTGAAGTTTGGTGTTAATGCTGCTGGTAGCTTTGTAGTCACAGGGTGCACTACAGACTCACCCCACCCCCCATCTCCCCTCAGGGTCTGGAAATGACGTTTTTTGAGGTTTTCAGTTTGGATGCTGAGTTGGCTTCTGGGGTGTGTTGCCATCCTGTCCGCTGAAGGAACAGACTGGAACATTCAGAGAGCTGCATTTACACTGAGCAGAGTTTGATGTGCAACAGCCAACAGGAGTCTGTTTAATGGTCTATTTCACTACCATGCCCTAAAGAATATTAAGAGTTTGGGGAGTTCCACCAGTCTCACACCAAAGAGCTAAGACTCAACTGTGAAGATCCTGTATGATTAGTTTCCGTTTTACCAATATACGTTCAAAGCATTTAAATGGCTTTGCGGGCTGGCAGATTATTTCATTTTCAATAATTCTTTAATTCTTTAGCTGAAGAATTTGAGTTTGGGCAGAGAGGAATCTGAAAGGAGTGTGACTCTTAAACAAAACACCTGTCTTTCATTCAAGGCTAAATTGACAAGCAATAATTTAGTTGTCTAAACGCAGAGCTTTCAGGATTTCAGGCTGCATAAATGTCAAAAAAACATAAAGATGCATGGGTAAGGTTCAAAGGTAGGCTACAATGTAGGCAAATATACAGAAGAACTTCAATTATTCAAGCACTGATAACTCTCTGTTATCTGAAGGTTGAATATGTTTTCCACTCAAAATGTGATTTTAGTTTATAAAGTTTTCTGAAAAAACGCAATGTGCTGGATTCCCTAAGTGTTTGTCCTGCAGACTTTGTGAACTCTGAACTCTTTTCTCGGGAGAGCTTATAACATCTTCTGGATCTCAGCACCAACAACCTTTTTATCTGAGTCCTTTGTTATCCCAAGGAATGTGGATGAACTTGATGTCACCTGTTACATTTGGGTTAGGGTAGTGAAGTAAATAAATCATGATTTTCATCTTTTCTCCTACTACCTTCCAAGCATCTTTGCATACTTTATCTTTAGAGATCTCTAGCTGTATGCAGAGTGTATGTATGATGAAAGGGAATTCCCTTAATGCATTGGAAGAGGTTTATATTTGGGGATGTTGTATCTTCTAACTATAGAACCACTTAACCACTTAGCACAATTCAACATCTGGTGGCTGGAATCAGTGAGCCAAATTCTGCCTTTAGTTACATCCTTGCACCTTCTTGGATTTTCAGCTACCTTCTGAGTGCAGAATGTGTCCCACTTTCTGTACCTCTGGAACATTACTGCCACTTTGACTCACACCAGGGCCCTCAGGGGAATCTGGCTATATATTATACTGAATCCAGCCTAAAAATACTTTCCCGTGTGTCCCAATTACTTCTGAGACAATTTGACATTATTGTATCTTCAAGAGAGAAGCAGCTAATATTTGCTAGACCAGTACAAGCTATAGAACTAGGACCCTGCCAGGTTTATAGGGAGTTCGGCAAAGTAGTGGAGGCTGCAGACAAAACTGGTTTGCAGTAGTGCGCTTGGAGCATCTTCCCACACATCTTTCCCATCTTCTCCCACGTATGACTCACGACTCTCACTCCAATTCCTTCCCCCTGACATCTTCCTCCCTTGCTTTGTAACACCAGAACCTACCCTCTCTCTTCTCCTGTCCATGGCAAACAAGCAATGCAGGGAATCACTTTCCTTCTCCCAAAACCCCTGTTGGATGGCAGGACACCATCAAGTGTTCTCATTCCTTATTCTCCCAGGGTAACAAAGCTGGGATGGCACAAGACGGTGGATTTTGCTTCACCTCCTCTCCCACAGTTAGGTCTCCAGGGGAGAGGATGTGAAAGTGCCAGACATGGTGGTCAGATCTTCGTTCAGAGAGGGAGCTGGATTGTGCCAATCTGTGCAATGGTCACTTTTTAAAATCTTATTCATGAGCTGCAGAATGGGAGAAGGGCCATGACTGCTGCTCTGTAGCTAATCTTTAATGGTGCATGCCTGGGGTGACCCAGGCCTCTGGGCCAGTAACTGGGCCACAACCGGGCAGTGCAGGGGCAGTGCTATTCCCTTGGGGAGCTTCTGGCCGAGCCCACCACAGCTATCCTGCTGGTTCCCTCTCTCCCAACAGCTTCCTTTCAGTCATATGCAGACACAAATATACAGAGTTGCCAACGAATCTAATCAAGAGTAGTGTAGTTCTAGACCCTGCTTGTGATGACAAGAAGCTGTAACCCTCACTGGATTTTCAGCCTTTCTTTGGTGAGAAGAGCCTCCCGGGGAAGGACTGTGAACATGGCTGCTGCAGGAGGCAGACAGAGCCCTTGCCCTCCCTTCAGGAGCCAAGAGGAGTTTTGGGTAAAGGGAGCAGTAAGAGACCAGCAGCTTGGGGCTCCTAACCTCCCTTTCAATGAAAAATGGGTTGGCTCCTCTCTGCCATGCAGTTCCAGGTATGAAAAGGGAAAGAAGAGGATCCTGCTGCAGCAGGTTCCCAGGCATGGAGGTGCGAGTGGAAGAACCCTTGGAGCTGCAGGAGGATCAGAGGTGAGATCTGGAGCACAGGACCTATGTGTAGCTGTGGGGAAAGTTAATGTCGGGTCTAGAGGATGCATAATTAGTTCCTGGGCTGGGGGTTGGGCAATTTTTGGAGGGACACAGAATTAATTAGAATGTGGAGGTTTGGGAGGAGGCAAAAAGGTTGTCAAAATGAATTCTAACACACATATCAGGGGCAGGCTGTGGGAGTTAAACAATCAAAAGATAAGTGTATCTATCTATCCAGTTGGGGGCCACTTTCATGGGGGTTGGGGGCTGACTATTCAAATGACTATATTTTGAACAAACATAATAGTGAGTCTTGGGGGCAGATTGTCCAGTACTGGGAGAAAAACCATTGGAGGGGAATTTAGCATTTAACTCCACATGGAACTCCCATGGGCCTTGCCCCATGTGGTCCTGCCAGCCACCACCACCTGCAGAAAAGCCACCAACAGATCTGGCAGAGGCTGGCGATCCATGAGAGGCCAGGCCCATGCACAAGAGGGCTATGTAGTATCTTTCCCCTATGCTCTTTGGTCGTGTGTTTCTACTGAAGCCATTCTACCAATGACTTTCTCCTGCTCCCAGTGGCCCCTGGGAAAGCTAATACAATATGAATATTCTGGGTAACTTCTGCCTCTCCCTTCCCCTGACTCTTGCCAGCATGAACTGGTCCATCAGAGAAAGCTACATAACATGTAAAGGAGGCAGAACTGCAAAGATACCTGAACTCCATTTTCACATGGTGGGCAGAGCTAGAGGAAATGAGGTGGCCCAGTGTCATCAGTTTTTGTGATTATGAATGAGCAGAAGCACAAATGGGGATATTCCATTGGGAGTCTTACAATTAAAAAAAAAAAAGCCCTTCCCCCATGTAATATTGCTACAAAAACAGAATTTTCTAAACTCCAGAAGGCAGACATGAAAAATTGTACTCAAATAATTTAAAAGTCTTAGGTGTCCCCTGGCGACCAAAAAGAAAACAAAACAAATAATTTAAGGTTGCATTTTAATTGAATTATGCAATGACATTAATTTAAACATTAGTAAACAGATGCAATTTTGTGTAATGCTTTAAATTAAGTTTCTCACATATGCATTTAATTGAAATGTATTGAGATGGTTATTTATGTTAATAAAATAATTAAAAGCAGTTATTTAAGACTAACTATGAAATAGCTGTGTAACTACCTATATTAATAAGACAGTTAGTTAAAGGATAATGTCTATTGCTTTATAGTTTAAATGCAATAAACAGCTGCTGAGTTAGATTAAGAGCCAAAGTGAAACTAAAGTGTTTTAGCAATCTCAAAAGCTATTTGTTTGTAAGTATACTACAAAGCAATAGAGATTATTCCTATTATACAACACCTATAGCATAAACATTAAAATATGATTTTCCTAAGTGCTTTGATTCCTTTCTCTCAGATTTTCCACCTACACCACAAGAGAGGGCAAGGCTAGAATCAGTGGAAAATGGCTTGAGCAGAGAAGGACATGTATGCGAGGGTGTTTATAGGGTGATTTACTGTCCTAATCTATAGCCATGCATTACTATTGACTTCAATGAGATTGTGTGTGGATGTAAGTCAGGGCAGAAACTGTGTTAACCAGCTGTACTTTTAGGGTGTCATAATTCAAAAATCTTGTTTGTTTTTTGTTAGAAAAAACTCTTCCTTGGCCCCAGATCAAACCTACCAGATTTTAAGCTAAAGGGACTTTTTTGTGGAAGTGGGCAGGGGAGAATCAAGCTTATAATAGAAACTCATCAGCAGCCTTGTTTAGGAAGTGGCTGCTGCCATTACATAATTAACACACAAAGAAGAGACACATTTTGGTCCCTAAGCTATGGCATTTTATGGCTGTGTCTCATAGTGAATACACAGAACTCAGACATTAGGTTGTGGTAAGTAAGCAAATGACAATACTGTGTATTTATTTGTATTACAGTTGTAATTTACAGGTTCCGAGTTGGCACCCATTGTGCTAAGCACTGTACATACATCCAATGAAAAAGATGTTCCGTGTGCCAATGACCAGAAAGACTGATTCAAATATTCTTTTAAATGCAGGTCTTGGATCCTGCAAGTCAATGGAACTATTGAGGTAAGAAAGAGTTGCAGGAATGGGCCTTTATTTATAATGTTTATGCCACCTTAGGATTCTGCCGGTTTTGTGGGAGGTGGGGAATGGTGTTCTTAATTACTTAGTTACACTTGTTCAGTTGTGTTTGAATCAATATTCTAAAGTTTATAGTTTTACAAAACTAAGGCGCCCTCACAAAGTAAATGGGAATTAAAGTGCTTTTAATGCCTTTATCGCTACTTATGATTACAGCCTTCTTCCCACTTCAAGTGGTTTAACTTTCTCTGTGGCCATACTGAAAGAACTAAATTATTGGAGCATGGTATAAGGGGAAATATGTTGACACAGTCTTTGATGTGCACTGTACTTAGTTTCAGTCTCCATTTCTTGCAATAGTCACCTGATAACAATTCAGGTTCTCATCAATCTTTTGAAAGCCATGGTCCCTTCAGCCAAGCAAATATTATCATCAAACCTGTACTGCCTGGAGATGGTGTTTGGCGGGTCATTGGTGACCACATTAAATAAAGTTGGTACCAGTACCACACTTTGCCGGAGTCTGTTTTTGTGGAATTTCCAAGTGCTGTTTTTGTGGCCCAGAGATACCTGAGAACATCTACCCATTAGCATCATCTCAGTTACCATGACAACTCATCAAGGAAGAACGCCTGACATCTTGTACAGCAGACCAGTGTGCCGGATGGTGTCATAGGCTGCTGCAAGGTCAAAAAAGCCAGCTCCAGTTTTGTTCTTCCTTTGAAATCCATTCTCAGTGTACATAGTAAGTGCTAGCACTTGGTCACAGATGCTTTGATTTTCTCAGAAACCTTCCAGATCATCACTCAAAAGATGTTCTGTCATGGGCATAGTCCTTTGGAAGATCATCCACTCCAGGAGTGTGTAGTTACAACTCAGGAGTGATACTGGGCAATAGCTGGTTGCTAAAGAATTGTCTTTACCTGGCATTGATAAAGCTATTACCTTAGCTCTTCACCCTATCTTATGTATCTTGTTCTCCTGTATGGTGTGGAGCATGAAGATAGGCAACCGGCTCTGGCTTTTCTTCCCAAGATGTTGTAGTAGTACTGGCAATAAATTCTCATGGCCACAAGCTTTTCCTGTTTTCACTGTTGTTTTTCTATTTCTTAGGGAATGGTAGGAAGTTTTCATATTGGTTAGACAATAGAGATTGTTTGCATTGATGCCATTTATTTTTGATTGAATCTTGATGATTTATTTATTAATTTATTTATTTATCGCGTTAGCAATGTTGGTCAGCTGTGCCACAAAACTGGAGAGACTTTCTGTTGCCATGTATCTGGTGGATTTTGTGCTGCACCAAATATCCTAATGAGTGTACATGTTTTCCTGCTAGATATTGACATGTCCATTTCTGAAATTGCTTTTCTCCCAGCCTGCTATTTGGGCTACATTCAGGCTCTCTAGGAGGTGGCTGGTATTTCTGGATTGATGGATTTTTGTTCTGTTTAAAGAGGTCTGCAGATTCCTCGCCCAGATATGGTACAAAGGCTTTTTGGCAGACATATCGGATGGACTTGGAGGTGTTTTTAAAGATTGCTTTGTGTAAACCTTGAATATGTTTAATCATAGAATAATAGAATCATAGAATATCAGGGTTGGAAGGGACCTCAGGAGGGCATCTAGTCCAATCCCCTGCTCCAAAGCAGGACCAATCCCCAACTAAATTCTCCCAGCCAGGGCTTTGTCAAGCCTGACCTTAAAAACCTCTAAGGAAGGAGGTTTCACCACCTCCTTAGGTAATGGCATTCCAGTGCTTCACCACCCTCCTAGTGAACAAGTTTTTCCTAATATCCAGCCTAAACCTCCCCCACTGCAACTTGAGACCATTACTCCTTGTTCTGTCATCTGCTTCCACTGAGAACAGTCTAGATCCATCCTATTTGGAACCCCCTTTCAGATAGTTGAAAGCAACTATCAAATCCCCCCTCATTCTACTCTTCTGCAGACTAAATAATCCCAGTTCCCTCAGGCTCTCCTCATAAGTCATATGCTCCAGTCCCCTAATCATCTTTGTTGCCCTCCGCTGGACGCTTTCCAATGTTTCCACATCCTTCTTGTAGTGTGGGGCCCAAAACTGGACACAGTACTCCAGATGAGGCCTCACCAATGTCGAATAGACGGGAACAATCACGTCCCTCAATCTGCTGGCAATGCTCCTACTTATACAGCCCAAAATGCCGTTAGCCTTCTTGGCAACAAGGGCACACTGTTGACTCATATCCAGCTTCTCGTCCACTGTAACCCATAGGTCCTTTTCTGCAGAACTGCTGCCTAGCCACTCGGTCCCTAGCCTGTAGCAGTGCATGGGATTCTTCTGTCCTAAGTGCAGGACTCTGCACTTATCTTTGTTGAACCTCACCAGATTTCTTTTGGCCCAATCCTCCAATTTGTCTAGGTCCCTCTGTATCCTATCCCTACCCTCCAGCTTATTTACCACTCCTCCCAGTTTAGTGTCATCTGCAAACTTGCTGAGGGTGCAATCCACACCATCCTCCAGATCATTAATGAAGATATTTAACAAAACCAGCCCCAGAACCGACCCGTGGGGTACTCCGCTTGATACCGGCTGCCAACTAGACATGGAGCCATTCATCACTCCCTGTTGAGCCTGAGCTTTCTATCCACCTTATAGTCCATTCATCCAGCCCATACTTCTTTAACTTGCTGGCAAGAATACTGTGGGAAACTGTATTAAAAGCTTTGTTAAAGTCAAGGAATAACATGTCCACTGCTTTCCGCTCATCCACAGAGCCAGTTATCTCATCATAGAAGGCAATTAGATTAGTCAGGCATGACTTGCCCTTGGCGAATCCATGCTGACTTTTCCTGATCACTTTCCTCTCCTCTAAGTGCTTCAGAATTGATTCCTTGAGGACCTGCTCCATGATTTTTCCAGGGACTGAGGTAAGGCTGACTGGCCTGTATTTCCCCAGGCCTGTATTTCCTCCTTCTTCCCTTTTTTAAAGATGGGCACTACATTAACCTTTTTCCAGTTGTCCGGGACTTCCCCTGCTCGCCATGAGTTTTCAAAGATAATGGCCAATGGCTCTGCAACTCCTTTAGCACTCTCGGATGCAGCGCATCTGGCCCCATGGACTTGTGCTCATCCAGCTTTTCTAAATAGTCCCCAACTACTTCTTTCTCCACAGAGGGCTTGTCAACTCCTTCCCATGCTGTGCTGCCCAGTGCAGTAGTCTGGGAGCTGACCTTGTTCGTGAAGACAGAGGCAAAAAAAGCATTGAGTACATTAGCTTTAATGTACATTAATCTATTGAGATGTTATATGGAGTACAGACTGTATATTGGCCAATGGGCTTCGTGTAATTTCCAGTTGCCTTTCTGTAGTTCCAATGTAGCCTTGGGCTAGAGGTCATGATAGGTGTGATAGCCCCTATTTGGATGAGGATGAGGTGATGCTGATTGTGGTGGAAATTTCCAAGGACCCTGCAGATGACTGCTGGGAGGGAGGTCTCCAACAGAAATAATCCAGCTGAGGCCAGGGGACTAACCCCAGATCCATTGGGTAGAGTGAAAACTAGCTGCTTGCTTAGGGTCATGAAGAAGGTGTAATTCATTGAAGGCAACCCAATCTGCTAGGCCTAACCCACTTTGATCAGATTCTCTATAGCCCAGATGATATGGTTTCTATTAAAGTCTCTGGCGTAGATGGCAGGATGCTGGGGTGATGGTAGAGCAGGAACAGGCCATCATTGGTTAGGGGGCCCGTAGACATTAGCAGCTTCAAAGTGACCAATCCTCATGGTGTCGCCGTAGTCAGATGTAGATGGTAAACTCTGCACATCTCCTCAATTTGATCTTACATGAGTGATCCAACCACGTTTTTCATGCAAACTGCAGTCTATGAGGTTGAAACCAGAGATTATGAAATGACAGGCAATAAGGGACTTCACATGAGTTTTCTGAAGGCAGATGACATTCGTGTTGTGTCAGGAGGCAATGTTTTTGAGAACAGAGGCTCTGTGGCTGATGGGCTCTTGATATTCAACTGTAGTACTTCGAGAGAAGAGCCAACATTTATGGCATTTCCTTGTCCACGTCCACAGTCATTGGGATCCAATAGATTTGGTTCACTGGTGGCAGTTTTGGTTTCCCTTGAAGGGTAATTACAGGGTACATGACAAGAATACAGCTGCATTGTAACTGCCCCATACCTGCATTGTTTTGTCATCAATGTGAAACACATCCAAGATTCACAAACTGGAGCAAGGGTTGTGCAAGCACAAAAAGAGTTTTTTTTAATTTTTTAATTTTATTTTTTTTATTGTCCTTTGACCTGTCACCTGCTGCTTCTCCTGTAGATACTAGGGAGGGACTTTTGTCCCAAAAATCATGCACAGTTTTATATTTTCAGCCAAACAGCAAAACACAGGGGAAAATCATAGTGAGTTTGAGCAGCTCATGAGCCAAAATCAAAACAAATTCATTCAACCCTTTTTGACACCAAACCACCAATTTTTGTACAACTGGGGCCATGATGTTTATAGAATGATAGTGCTGTTCAGTGTTTTTCCATATGTCTGTGTTGGTTGTCTTCTGATGTTTGACAAATATGGGGTGAGAAATTCAGGATGAACAATTTTCTCAATATAATCAAAATTTCCTAAAATTAGTTTACTTTTCATGTTATATCAGGGGTTTTTATAGTATAGTATAAAAACTGTGTACCAAAGGTGAAAAAATCCTGTTGAATCTATTCACTTCCTCCTTTTGAAGTTGTCTATCCTGAAGGGATGATTACATCAGTGGCTAGCTGGCCCACACTGGCACAAACATGTGAAAATCACAGTGGCAGGTATCAACTATGTTTTGTAGAAACAATTTTTAAAAAAGCCAACAGAAAAAGGGGTCTTGGCAGATACTTTTGCATGGTGATTAATCCAAGTGCAGATCCACTACTAATCTTCCATGGAATTATTTTGTTTCTGGGTTGTTAAGGAAACAGATGTAAGGGTGGCTCT